GCATAATAATAATCACAATTGTAATAAATTACACAATAATTAATCTTTGCATAATGGTGTTTGCACCGGTCCCATCTCTTTTTTGTTTTTTGTTTTTGTTTTTTTCTTGTCGCAAGAAGTGGTCGAACCTTAAAATATCACTAACAACAATAGCCACCGTTTTCCCCCTAGATTTATGACTTTAGGGTTTATGGATTTAAATTATAAAAAAGGCAATGCTGATAAAATTGTGCTTTGTTCTGGTTTTGTCACATGTTGCAGGACTCAGCACAGGAAAGTGTCATCACTCGTGACATCCACCGCACTTTTCCTGCACATGATTACTTCAAGGACTCGGATGGAGATGGACAGGATTCACTGTACAAAATCTGCAAGGTGAGTCAGAAATAACACTCTGAGGTCATGAAGTGAGAATTAATATTTTAGAATATATTAACATCCAGATTGTATTTTATCTATTTTTTGTTCTTGTTATCATGCAAAAAAATGTCATAAGAGCGTTTTAAAAGGGGGTATTATGCAAAATTGACTTATATGAGCTTTATATTATGTTGCTGTCAATTATRTAGCTCAAAACAACATGAGTTGACCAAAGTGCKTCACAATTCAGCCAAATAAATAAATAAACAAAGCAACACAAAAATGTTAATAAGTAAAATCTATTTAAAATAAAGAAATACATTTAAAACGTTGGCTTTAAAAAATCTCAAACTCTACCAGAAAGAAAGGCCAAGGAGCTAAGATGAGTTTTAAGCATAGATTTAAAAGTCTCAAAAGTCAGAATGCAAAAAGGTATTGAGGCATAAACTGCAAAGTTCGATTGCCTCTAAATTTTAGCCTTGATTTCGGAACATCTAAGAGAAACTGATTGTAATGTCATCTTCTCATCAAAAWCACGCTCAGAATGTTGCTTTGGCTCATTCACGCCTGTTTGAGAATCCTTGAATCTCTTGTGGTAACCATGTGAAACTGCCTGGACACTCGCTGGTACAAAGCAACAAAGCACCACCTATTTGTACCTAGCTCCTCCCTGGAGCTCAGTCCGCAGCCRAGTGGTAGTACACGGCTTGAAGCTTTGTTATGAAGACATGCTGAAGTGGGAGTGTCAGAAACAGTAGGAGGTTTTTAAAGAGAAAGAGGCCCATTTCAAGATATTTAGCTATACAGCATTTTTTCCCACCTAAGTTTTAACTACACATCAACAAGCTAACGTTAGCTACCATTAGCTTACTGTTTTCTGCCGTCCTCTCCTCTCATCTTAAGCATCACACTGCTGGATGGTCTGATACAGTCTTCGGTACTTTTGTGGTAAAGAATTGAACTACGTGCCTGGAAAATGCATAATACCCCCACCTATTTATTGTTTGCATTTGTTGTCAGGTTATAAGATAAACTTTTAACACTACCTGAGATGAATTTGGTCTAACCCTGTAATGCCAGCCATTATTAGTTTTTTCTTTTAATGTTGCAACGCTCAGCAAGTTGTGTGACTAACATAGGCTTTATAATAGAAAACTGGCAGTACTTATTTTTTTAAAAAACTTGAACCAGTTGCACAGGTGAAGAATTAGAGAAAGGGCTGCTTTGTAGACATTTTTGGTTTGGTATAATCCTGTCTGATTTATATATAAAACCATAAAAATGTTAAATGGTTCATTTTAAACAAAGAGATGAAAACTGTGGTTTGTAAAGGTTATTCATGAAACATAAATATGGGTATTGCATTGATGTTGCATCTGTATTTTAAAAACCAAAACTAATTTTAAACTGATATAGAATCAATTCATAAATGCAGAAGCAGAATATGTTTGGTCATCGCTCTGGGAGATGATGTCAGGAGAGTTTAGCATCCAGTCTGGGCCCAAGTAGGTCAGTGGTGAGCCAGACTTCATCTGTATGCAAATCCATGTAGATTTGCAGCTGATAAGGTTGCTTGGATCTTGAGGCTTTACAGGCATGGAAAATCCAGGACAAAGTTTATATTCATCTTCATAACCTACTCAGTAATAAGCCTGGAGTCTTTCACTTTTAACCTTTATTCTCAGGGGAAGATCACCTGAATCTCATGCTTTTTGTTTGATTTGATTTGATTTGATTTATTTATTTAACAGGAAAAGATTATTAAAAATCAAGCCTGACTCA